CGGGGGAGAAACAATGGCAGGGGCAGTGGTCCAATGCGCTGGGTTTATGGGTGGAAAAGAAGGCGCATTGAGGTTCATTCTGAGTTTGATTTAGTTTGAGATTTGGCGTTTGTTTTGCATGATTCAAGCCTGGGTTTGGTTTTTCAGATCGGATTGAAGTTTGGATGAGAGGATCATAAGTACTGTTTTGATTTGCGGCACCTCTCGTATTGTTTTTCGGCTTGACTCCGACCCCTTCACAAAGCAGGGGGGCGGATCCTCGGAGCAGGGGGGCACGTTATATTCTTTCAAACGAAATGGCGTTGCTGACATTTCTTCACCGAACATTAATGATATATTTTGAGTATTTCAGGGAGATATTACTTCTTCGCGTTTTACCTGCGGACGAAGGTTTGGTGGATGAATGGAATAATTTGTCTTAGGATTGCATACATCTTGGTAATGGTAGGATATCTAGCTAGGCGGATTTAGAGACGCACCGAGATATTGTGACGAATTGGCGGTGAAAGGAAAGGCGTCTTTGAACGGCGTTCTTCATGTTTTTCTGGATGAAAAGAGTTTGAGTTGAGAATTTTCAGAAGAGAGCGAGAGTGATTGGCGTGTGTTGGCATGCTATTTGAATACTTTTGTCGTGTCTGAAATATTTTCGTTTTCTTGGTGTTGATTGTGTTTTGGGATGAACTGGTATGAGAAGGATGACTATGATATTTTGCCGGAGCATGACGATGCATACGAGCAGGGGGGCTATTCGATATACTTGTAGCATAGCATGGGGGTGGTATATTGCGTATACATACTTGAAGTATGCGGGATTTGCAGTAACGAACTACGGAGGAACGAGAAGTTTCGTTATGTTTTCCTTGGGAGTGTGGTAGATTGGTGGATATTCATGGAGATTCGTTTTGGGCGTTTGAGCGTTATGCGTGACTTGATGCCGTGATGGAATGACGAGCTCAAGCACGCCCCCGATTAATACAACACGTTTACAACACGGATACAACACGTTTCCCAACACGGATACAACACGTTATACAACACGTTTTTCCACACGTCTGTACGACTTTACCTACCCCTACGGCCCGTCATGGCCGAGCTGCTCTACACTCCCATCACACACAACTGAGCCACCCGAATTATCGATCATGGGCAACACATATTTACCAAAGCACGGCAGAGCAATGACATTCACGTAGCCAACAGTGGATCATACATGCTTGTCTTACCTCCTAAACATAATATCGAACGTCAGACAGTACCGAGTGTGACACTGAGTGGCTCCGTCGTTGTATCCATACCACCAGTCCAACTGACAGCACAACCATAACTCACGGGGAGCGGTTTCCAGCAAAGCCAAGGACACCCTGTCGCCTTCCATCGTCAGCGAAAGGGTGGATGATTCGTGGTATGCGGGGGGCGTGTCCGTTCAAGACATCTTTAACCTGCTGCAACTCAGCCAGGACGGTCGCCTCTTGTGCAGAGTGGGGAAGAAAAAAGTAGGTGGCTGTACTACCGCGCACTACTGCTACGGGATCTGTGTAGAAATTAGATGCAGCTGTGTGATTGCTGCATGTGGTGATATGTGTAGAACAACATATTCGCCTGATTGAGAGCGTAGCATCTGATTGAGAGCGAGATTGCGCGATACGCTGTAGCCGGACTACCACTGAGAGGTGGAGCTTGCTGTGTAGCTTGAATTGAAGGGCTAGCCCGTAGCTTCAAGCCGCTACCCTGGTCATCCTGTGGGAGTCTCTCGTTGTGGAGCTACAGCGGGGAGCAGAAGCTACAGCAGAGCCCACCGCCCGACGCGATACCGCCCTGAAACAGTTTGAGCAGAAATAGCCAATCTGGGCAAATCTAGCAACTTGTCTAGCTCCTCGCTGCAGCATCCGATGACGATGACACGCATATGCTCGCGAAGCTGCTGATGAGACCTTCAATTTGCACCGCTTCTTGGAATAGCCCGTCCCCTACTTGCCAAGAAATGGCAAGAGGCGTCTGGACCCGAAATTTCAATTTTTTTGGCTCTCGCTCTCAATCAGATACTTCGCTCTCAATCAGGCGAATATGTTGTTGTAGATGATGCGGTCTCCCAAGTGAATTTTGGTAGTACGCAACATGTAGCGACGAGATATGGCTCCTGGATTGTAATCGTAGCGATATCGCGACGTGTTGCGAGCCCCACCAGCCTCACAGCCAAACTATCCCTCAACATGCCAACTCTGCAAGCAAGCTGCGAACTGTACAAAGCCGAAAAGAAGTATAACTTCTGGAACCAGCATTAGCGACAACATCGACTCCGGCCACTGCCTCATCAGTCTTCCGTCAGAATCTTCTGAACATTCTACAGACTTCTGTATGGAACTCGTGCAAATATCACCTCGACACTACACATTTCTACAACCGATACACAGTGGAATACGCGGTGGCACACCTAGGTATTTGCTTGCTAGGCGTCTCTACGAAACAGACAAACGCCAGCCCTCCCTTCTGAAGGTGGATCACAGAGCGACTGATCACATCGTCTTGCATTAATGTGACGGAAGTTTACCCCATCGTGACCTCTTGCCGTTCACGTCGCGACGCCGTTATCGTACTGAAGGTGTACTACGAAATACAGAAGCTTAGCGACGAGTTGAACGCCAAACCCGAGGACGCAACCGACTTCCTGGCGTCTCTGAAAAGCGAGCCTGGCATGTACTGCGACCACACACTGGATGCGCAGGGGAGACTGGTGGATGTTTTGAGACTGGTGGATGTTTTTTGGTCCACCATCAAACAGCAAGCCCACATTGCAAGATTTGGCGGGTGCATCCAGCTGGACACGACGGTGTTCACAAACAGGTACAAATATTATTGAACCTCTGCGAGAGGTTGCTTGCCTCGACGGCAAATTCAGCTGGTGAGAGGGTGTCAACGCCAGTCAGCGTATTGTGCAACTCCACAAACCATTGCAATCCCAAATGCCTTGGCGACAGATATGTGTTCTGCTAGCAACAGTATAACAGTGATTGCTTATGTAAGCCGGACTGATGTGCTCGGGCTGACCGCGTTCCTCTTTAGGTACGGGTACCCGCTTCTGTTCGTCGTCGGCGTCGACGACGAAAATCGCAGCTGCATTTTGGGGCAGGGATTGCTGCGATCAGAGTGTACACAAACATTCGAGTGGATGCTCAACAGATATGAAACTGCTGCCGGTGGGCGGAGGCCGAAGGTGACCCTAGTATCATGTCCGTATCATGTGGGGTTAGGGGTGGTCCTTGAATGCTTTGGTACGGAGTCAGGATGACGTACAACAAAACCATGCCTTTGGCGACAGGAACAAAGTGACTTTCATTTTCGGCCGCCGCTAAGTCGAGCTGTGTGAACGACCAGGAGCTGTGTTGACGACCCGGAGCTTCTCCATGTGCTGGCAACATCAGCGAGGTATTCCACCTTTCATCAACGACACGCTTTTCGTTTGTCTTTCCCACAGGTAATCTTGACCGATGCTGATCTTGCGATGACCGCTGCAATAGCCTCCTGTTGGCCAGACACGCTGCATTTGCACTGCTTGTGGCACATCTTCAAGAATGTCCTCAAGAACTGCTCGTCATCATTTCCTGACAATGACGCCAAGGCCGACATGATGCGTACCTTTAGACGCGCAGCGTATGCGGCTACTCCGGAGGTGCGATACCGGTCCATCGTGTTTTCCCGCTACAAGATGGCCCCAGACGTGTATCGGTCTATCACACCCCTTGACCGAGTCATGACGAGCCGTAGACATCAATTGTGGCGGCGTATCAGCGTACAAAAGACCTAGCTGGGTAGGGTCACTGATTCCACATAATGTTTCATCCATTTGGGTTTGGCGGCAGGCGTTCGCGACGCGAGCGGCTCGGTTGGAAACCCTGGTGGCCGGGAAGAAGTGCGAAGGTTATTCGATAAAGTTATACCATTGATAAGTCAGCGCTGACTAGACAAATGGTTTAACAATTGGCGACAAAAGTTTCACGCACGGGCTCGAACCCCGGCTTCTCACTTTCCCAAGCACCATTATGTTCTTTGCAGTCAGCGCCTGGCGAGGGGTCCGTCCCCGGAGATCCAAGCCGTAAACCCCCAAAATGTGATCCAGCCGGGTGCTAACGAGCTGAGCGTATATATATCTTATATTCGATAAAGTTACACCATTAGACTAGTCATCGATGACTGTGCACGTAGTCAAATGGTCAGCCTTTATCGAATATGCTTTTTCGTAAAGTGATCAGCCCGGGATTTGAACCTTTATGGTTGGAATGATGAGCTTATGAGGGAATTGCAGTTAGTTGAGAGATAGGGAGAGAGAATTGGAGAGAAAGCGGCGCAATTGGATAGGTGCAGGTGAAGCGGCGTAATTAGCTCGCGTCAGCTGATGTAATGTGCTGATGTCCCCCTTTTCCAGTGTTCCATTTCCCTGCTGTTCCGGGCCGACGACGGCCTAAGAAACACACTTTGATCGCAAGTAACTTCGAGATGCGCAAACCCACGATCCCACTGACACATCTACACACATATCTATGTGCGATAGGCCACCGCCGGCCGATTCCACGTCAGATGCTGACGATCGACCCCGCCTGGAAAAAGGGATGAAAACACCAAAGACAGAGAAAGAAAAAAGAAAGAAGAAAGGAAGACAAAGGAAAAATAGGAAGAGGCTGAGAATGTTTGCTCCTCACAGGGTGGGTGATATCTTACGTATTCATGTAGTGACGAGTGCGGAGGAACAGGAAGTTTCTTCATACTTTCCTTGGGAGTGTGATGGCATGGTGGAGATTCATGGACATTCGTTAGGTACTTTGAGCGTGATGAGCGTGACCCGTGACTCCATGCCGTGACCGATTGACGAGCTGAAGCACGCCCCCGATGAATTCACAATACGTTTTACAACACGTTTTCCTACACGTCCCTACCCTACCACGGCCCGTCATGGCCCAGCTGCTCTACACTCCCAACACAAAGAACTGAGCCACCGAATTATCGATCAACCCCTGCGGTAAGCGCATGAAAACATCCTCATCAAGCTCAGACTGTACGAAAGCCTGCTGAATATCGAAATGGCACAAGTCAAGATTCTGCTCGCATGCTAATGCTGCCAACAAGCGCACACTGGACACTGATACGGTGGATGCACACAATTCTCCAAAATCGATCGGAGCCCTCTGCATGTCCCCCCGCGCTAAAAGGCTTGCCTTGAATTTCGTCGGCCATCCGTACTCGTCTGCCTTACAGTTGAAGACCCACTTGGCATTGATCGCGTTCTCTACTGGTTTCTACACCGGACTAAAAGTTCCTGCATCCAACAAACCGAAAAATTCTCGACCGACTGCATCATCCAACAACTCTGAATGCTGAGACCGCATGGCCTCCTTCAACGTTTTCGGCACTCGGAGGTCGCCGGCGAGGCAGTGAGGAAGGTCCGGCATCTTGTCGGGCGGGCGCTCGGCGCGAAGAGCGGCGTCCACATCCTCGCGGGTGGCGAACATCGTTGCGAACATCTGCGGTCTCCCCCCCCCCCGGAATCCACGGGCCCCGCAGCTCCCACGGCGCCCCCGCTTCCATGGCCTCCAAGACTCGGATCCGGCTGCGGCGGGGTCGGCAGGTCGCGGCGTCCTTGATCCACGGCCTCCCGGGTGGCGAGCAACGAGATGAGGGAGTCCTTGTCCATCATCGCTAACAGACCAAGACGGTGGTGGAGAGCGGCGTCGCCACCGGACGGCGGTTGTTGTTGTTCCTCCATGAACCGCACTCCATTGCCGCGCGTGCGGCCTTGTACCCTCGTGTCCTTTCGTCCCAACTCCTTCGTGGCTCGTTTCGAAAGCGGCGGGTGCGGGGGGGCGGGGGTGGCGGCGCTGGTGGGCTGCGGCGGCGGCGGCGGCGGCAGGCCCGGGGGCGAACGGGGCGGCGTTGTTGCGGTCGACGGTGGGGCTGATGATGGGGCGACGGAGATCGGCGACGGGGCTGAAGATCCTGTGAAGATCGGCGGGGAAGCGGGCTGCGGCGGTGCGGTGGTCGCTGGTGCAGGTGGGATGTAGGTGTACGTCCTTGATGGCGGGGGCGGCGGCGGTACGGCATCGGCCGCAGGTACGGCGGTGGCCGGCGAGGGCGTCGCCGTGACCGAAGAACCCCCCCCCATGCCCGGCACCGACACCGGTGCCCCTGCCCGGCGGTTGACCCACACGACGTTGTTGGTGAGGGCGAGGCGACCGGCGTCAGCGCGAAGAACGACGGCGGTAGACGTCGAGTGGTTGTTGGCGCCGTGCAGGTAAAAGCACCGCGCGGATTGGACGTCCGCCTTCTTCGCCCGCTTCACGCGCATCATCCCCTCCTGGGAAAAGGGACGACGGTGAGGGGCGGCTTCCGGTCGAAGAACGCCTTAAACGGCGACATCCAGCCCAGGTCGGCCTTCATCGTGGAGCGGTTGAAGCAGGCGGATGCCCACATCGCAGACGCGAGCCACAGACGATGTCCGTTGACGCCGACGTTGGGGATGGAGGAGAGGTCGACGTGGCCCATGGCGAGGATGTGGCGGCGCGCGGCGTGGNCAGCCCAGGTTGGCCTTCGTCGCGGAGCGGTTGAAGCAGGCGGATGCCCACAGCGCCGACGCGAGCCACAGGCGATGTCCGTTGACGCCGACGTTGGGGACGGAGGAGAGGTCGACGTGGCCCATGGCGAGGATGTGGCGACGAGCGGCGTGGCCCCTCTTCATGGCGCGCCATATGGCGCTCTCGACCACCACGTTTTGCTTGGGGGTGTCGGGGGCGGTGTACTCGCGCCGAATGCCAGCAGCGTCGCGGAACGAGATGAACGCGGAGCCGGTGAACTCGCCGCCGTTGTCCATGCGGAAACACCCGGGAGTGCCCATGCCGTTCATGTCGGTGAGGAACCGCTGCACGAACTTCAGGGTGTCGCTCTTGGCCCGCATCCCGTACCCCCGTTGCCACCGCGATACGCTATCCACGAACATGATCAGGTACCGGGAGCCGTCCAGCGCGTCAGAGCACGGGCCCGTGAGGTCGATGTGGACTTGGCCGAACGGTACCGCAGTGCGGGTGCCACGCCGCGGCACCGGTGCCCGCCTGCCCTTCGACTCCACGCAGCCCACACATGGCTGCATCTCCCCCACCAGTCGTACGCCCTCCTGCTTGGCCGTTTCACGCATCAAAAATTCGTTTACATGGCCGGTGGAGGCATGGAACAAATTAATGTAAATGGTCGGCGTAGATTTTCCTACCGAAAACGGGGAAGCACCGGGGGCGATAATCGCCAAGGCATGCGAGAGGGAGGGGGGAGCTACGGTTTGCTGCGCACTGCATCCAGCAACAAAACCCTTCAGGCAATCAAATTCATCACTCATTACGGCAAACGCGGGGGGAGGGGGTGTTGCAGAGTCGCAAACATCAAGCGCATCCGGAAAAAAATCACCCTGTGGGGTCGAGTCTATGCCATCCATCAGGCCTACATCAAGGAACATGCTCATATCCATGAGAGGCAAATGGTCCTGGGGGATGAGAGGGTTGATCACAACTTCACGAAAATTGCTCGGGTCAACGACGGAGGGAGAAGCAATATCAGACGACGCTACGGCAGCTGTGATTACAGGCTGGTAGTCGGCAATAGTCGTTGGCACTACATCTACGTCGATGAGCGGGAATGCAAAACGCGGGATCACTACACCGGACGTGGTGGATGGGACGCTCGAAGTCGCANGCACTGCATCCAGCAACAAAACCCTTCAGGCAATCAAATTCATCACTCATTACGGCAAACGCGGGGGGAGGGGGTGTTGCAGAGTCGCAAACATCAAGCGCATCCGGAAAAAAATCACCCTGTGGGGTCGAGTCTATGCCATCCATCAGGCCTACATCAAGGAACATGCTCATATCCATGAGAGGCAAATGGTCCTGGGGGATGAGAGGGTTGATCACAACTTCACGAAAATTGCTCGGGTCAACGACGGAGGGAGAAGCAATATCAGACGACGCTACGGCAGCTGTGATTACAGGCTGGTAGTCGGCAATAGTCGTTGGCACTACATCTACGTCGATGAGCGGGAATGCAAAACGCGGGATCACTACACCGGACGTGGTGGATGGGACGCTCGAAGTCGCACTCGCAGACGAAGGTACAACACCGGCAGCGACTCCACCGGCGGACTGGAAGCTCGTACTCGCACTGGCACTCGGAGGTACAACACCGGCAGCGACTCCACCGGTGGACGGGAAGCTCGTACTCGCATGTGTGCCCGCTCCTGTGTTTGGGGGAAAAGGGGGGTTCGCGACAACAAGGCCTGCCAACGTTAGGCGGGGGAGCTTGGGGAGACACACGAGGGAGGGCATCAGGACCGAGGGTTACGGCACTACCATACGTGGGAGGCAAGCGAGTGGCCCAATGAGAACATCCTACATCGGAGTAAGCAAAGGAAAGCTGGCCATTGAATAGATGCACGCCATTTTCATCCAACGTGATTCTCTGCCTACGCTGCGTATGGTGCAAGGAAACCCTTACCACCTTCATCAGACTCTCTCTTTCTTTTGTCCAATCTCGTCTCTCTCTTCCTCTCTCCGCTACAGAATACGAATCGACCCCAAAACACTTCCTTCACTGCAAGTTCATCACAATGTCATCGATGACTGTGCATGTAGTCAAATGGTCAGCCTGAAATCAATAACAGATTCGCGCACGGGTTCGAATCCCAGTGGATCGCTTTCAAGGCACCATTATCGGCTAATAGCAGCCTTTTGTGGCAAGGGGTCCGTCCCCGGAGAACATTACACCCTATCAGATCCACTGGGATTGGCTACGAGCCGAGAGTGTATGTTTTATTGATTATAGGCTGACCATGTGACTACATGCACAGTCATCGATGACTGCTGCTGATCGCCGCAAAGCGATGTAACTCCAAACTAAGCCCGACGCGAATATCGTTGACAACGTGTCATACGGTAGCGTGATCGATAATTCGGGTGGCTCAGTTCGGTGTGTTGGGAGTGTAGAGCAGCTGGGCCATGACGGGCCGTGGTAGGGGAGGGACGTGTAGGAAAACGTATTGTATCCTTCGGGGGCGTGCTCGTGCTCGT